AGCATGAACTTGACTGATCTGCTGAAAAAGAATGCCTTTCAATGGGCTGAAGATACTGATAAGGCCTTTAGGCACTTAAAAAGGCTATGACCACAGCCCTAGTCGTAGCATTAGCTGATTTTACTAAGGAATTCATAGTAGAAAATGATGTATGTTCTAAGGGTATTGGAGCAGTACTCATGCAAGAAGGAAGACCCCTGGCCTTCTTCAGCAAGGCACTGGCTCCTAGACATATAAGGTTATCTACTTATGAAAAGGAATTCATGGTTGTCCTAATAACAGTGGATAAATGGTGACATTACATTCAGGGGGGGCATTTTATAATTAGAATAGAACGTCACAGTTTGAAGTACCTGCTGGAACAAAGAGTTACTACTGCAATATAATAAAAAGGGTTAACCAAATTGTTGGGGCTGGATTATAAACGCAGTACAAGAAAGGTTCAAAGAACAGGGTGGCCGATGCCTTATCAAGAAGGCAAGAAGAAGAAGAGCTAACACTGAACGCATTGTCAGTAGCTGAACCTACATTGATGCAGGAAATAGCCCACATCTATGAGCATGATCTTGCAGCCTTACAATTGGTAACTGAGTTGATTACTGAGCCAACTACCAAGCCAGCTTATACTCTACATCAAGGCATTATCAGATATAACTAGAAGATTTTTGTAGGAAAAGGAGCTAAGTTGAGGGCTAAGATTTTTAAGGAATTGTATCAGTCCCCTTTAGGTGGACATTTTGGACAGCAGGGTACTTATAGAAGGATTAGTATGGTCTTCTACTAGCCAAGTATGAAAAACGATACATGCAAATGGGTGTCCGAATATGGTGTTTGCCAGAAAACAAAAACTGAGAATGTGTACTATCCTGGACTACTACAACATTTGCCTATTCCTGATACACCATGGCATGACATTGCCTTGGATTATATAGAAGACCGCCTTCATCTACTCATAGAAATGCTATCCTAGTAGTGGTGGACATGTTGACTAAATATGGCCACTTTATAGCCCTCAAGCATCCTTATACAGCTAAAGACATTGCAGACTTGTTCCTTAAGGAGGTGCACAGACTACATGGGTTGCCAAAAACTATTGTCATAGATAGAGACCCTATTTTCACTAGCCAGTTTTGGCAACAGTTGTTCAAGTCCATGGGAACCAAACTCACTATGTTCATCCTACCATCCCCAGATAGATGGCCAAACTGAGAGGCTTAATAGGTGCCTAGAAACATATTTGAGGTCTATGGTATTTACTAATCCTAAACACTGGTTGAAATGGCTTCCAATAGCTGAATGGTGGTACAATACCAATTACCACATAGCCCTTAAAGCTACCCCATTTGAAGCCCTATAAGGATTTTCCCCTTCTCAAGTACCATTGGGATCCCTGCTTTATTCTACACACACTTCAGTGGGTGCATGCATGGCTCAATGACAACATATTCTGCAGCAGCTTAAGGAAAATTTACAAGTGGCCCAAACTCGTATGAAATTTTATGTAGACAAGAACAGAACTAAAAGGGTATTAAATGAAGATGATATGGTCTACCTAAAATTACAGCCCTACAAGCAAGCATCGGTGCTAATTAGAAGGAACCTAAAGTTGAGTGCTAAATACTATGGTCCTTACAGAATTCTTGAAAAGATAGGAGCAGTAGCATACCAACTAGAACTTCTAGCGGAGTCTCAGATCCACCCTATCTTTCACGTCTCACAACTGAAGAAGAGGGTTGGTCCCGACATCACTTCTCAGCATCATCCTCCCCTTTGTGATGATGATGGTCGCGTGATGGTGCAGCTTGTGGCTATCTTATGAAGACATATGTTGAAGATCAATAATGCAGCTGCTGTGAAAGTTTTGGTACAGTGATTTAATTTGAGCTCAAAATAAGCTACGTGGGAGGATTGGGGGTATATTAAGAATCAATTTCCCGATTTTGTCAGCCAACTTCGACCTTTAGGACAAGGTCGTTCTGAACGGGAGGGTATTGTTATGTCTGAACTCAGCTGGAATTAGAAACCCTATTGCTAAATTGTGGATTTGAAGTGTATTGACTAAGTTGAGATAGGAATGGATGATATTAATAAGAAGGTGACGTGGCAGCAAGAGATGATATTACTCAGATTAGTTTAGACGGTTCAGATTAGAAGTAACTTTAACAAATAATGAGCCCAGATGAGTTGGTTAGTTGGGCCGTTATAGTGGATTGTTATATTCAGTTGGGTCATTAGATACACAACTGAACGGGAGGATTGGCAGTTATAAATCTGGTATTCCCTTATTTCCTTCCTCCTCGATTCTTTTTCCTTCTTCTTCTTCTTCTTCTTCTTCTTCTTCTTCTTCTTCTTTTTGATCATCTTCCTCGTCTCGTTTTCTCTCCTTCTTGCATGATTTCACCATTGACGTGCGACTCAAACTCCATTACTGTTCGTTTGTAATTCTTAGGAGTAAATGAGTTGGTGGTAAAATGTAATAGAACAAAGTAATAAAACTACTGATTTTGCCTTAAATCTCTTCTTTCAATTCTAGTACATTACAGAGGTATGTGGACTTAGTAGTGAATTTTTCAGAGGAAGTTAAGGACAATACGGTTAAGATTTGTAGGGATGTGAAATACAAAGTATTATATTATGATTGCAATTGGATTATGTAATCTTCATCTTCTTCTCAATTATAGCCATTATTTACTATTATTCTGCCTAGTAATCCTCTCTCTTCTGGGAGGGAAGCAAGGAAGGCGGAAGGGGGTCGCGGGGCTTCTTCTCGTGTTTATTGTTTAGTTTTATTTTTTAAATCTTCTTGATGAAATTTTTACATTTGTTACTCCTTCTGTTTCAATTTAGATGACATTTTTCATTTATCGAGAGTCAATTTGACTAAACTTTGAAGGTAATTAGATTAGTACAGTTCAATTTTTTAAAAATTAAAATATAAATATTCAAAAACTATACGAAAAGTACTATAAATTACAAATTTTCTCAAGTAAATATTATAAAAAAAATACATTTTAAAATATTGGTTAAACTTCATACAGTTTGATTCTCGATAAGCAAATTGTGTTATCTAAATTAAAACGGATTAACTATTATTTTCTTTTCGGGCATATATACAGTGAAGTGTGGGATCCCAAAACCTAATTATAATGAATATATACTATGGTGTCCTTTTCCCGGTAGAAATAAGACTTTTTCTTATGCTTTTTCACGAAGGTAAAGACTAAAGAGCTAATGAAAGAAGAAGCCTTCGAGTAATTAAAAAATGTTACACCAAAGCTGGATTTGAAAAACAAAAATCTCTCTTGATTTTAAGAAGAAAAAAAAATAAGAATAATATTTTATTAATTCATATATTTAGCAATAACAGCACTTTTGATCCTTCTGTTATTAGTAAGTTCTGATTTTTACCGCTGTAATAGTTGGGTAAGCACATTTAACCTTCAATTTAAGTAAAATGTGTATAAAGGACATATGATATTTAAACTATTTCTAGAAGAATACAAATTTAACTAACGGGAGCGGCTCCGCTCCATTAGTGCTTGCTCCAGTGGTTATCAATGTATGTTTAGATTAACTACACGTATCCAAGTGAATCTTCAAAGGATGAGATTGTTTTTGTTAATTCTCTATTATTATATGCTTATATTTCTGTTAGTAGTAAGTTATAACAAAAAAAAAAGTCGATTAATACTTCGTACTTTACAGTACCAATATAATAAGTAATTAAACTTATATAAAGAAAATATTGACAAATAAAATTGTTTACCCGTAAAATGCTATAATTAAATTTATACGTGGTTTATAGACAAACGAATCAATTTGATCCCAAAATAAAAAATAAATTAAATAACAATGTAAGACTTAGCATTGAAATCGAGATAAGACAGTGGAGAGCTTGGTTCCGGGGCGGAGCTTGCGAAGGCAGTAATAACGATATTAAGAAGCAAGAAAATAAAATATTATTGAGCTTCTAAACAGCATATAGCATAAGTTTTCAGAAAATTCGTCGTCTCTACAATGGTTGATGGAATCCTTATTTATAGTGTCACATAGGGAACAAGGTCCTAGGATCAAGCCTTTCTTAAATGATAATTATGGGGCCATTAAAGAATGTGTAACGGCAGGGATGTCATATTCTATAAACGGACTATGTATTTAACATGCAGAATATTCTTCATTGAATGCTATGGGGTGACAGGTATTCATTCGTCTTCATGAGCAACATTCCCTTGGGGGCTTCCCGATGCCAGCCGAGACTGTTGCCTCCGGTCTTAGCTTTCACCTATTTCGCTTTCCATCTGTCTCTGGTTCCACATGTCACTCTATTATACGAGCATTTAATATGAACCAATTTTACCCTATACAAAAATCAAGCTCAAAAAATATGTAATAATTACTCCATTTTCTGAATAAATAAACATATTCACCCGACTATGAAATAAAAAAGCAATTTAATAGATACAATGTAGCTTGTGGGTATCAACTTCCACAGATTTTAGTTTTTTTTTCTTCTTTTTCTTCAATTATTACTATCAACGGGAATATATAAGCATAATAAGAGAGAATTAACAAAAACAATCTCATCCTTCGAAGATTCACATGGACACGTGTTATTAATCAAAATATACATTGATAAATACTGGAGCAAGCACTAATGGAGCGGAGCCGCTCCCTTAACTAACATAACACATAAGTAACTAGATGGTACAACACATAATAATTTATTAAATTTCCAAAGATTCATAAGTAAAGGGATAAAAAGTACACATATCGATTAACTGAAGGTTTAACATGCTTAACCAAAATACAGAATTACGATGATATTTGAGGGATTAAACACACAAATATCCTCATATTTTTGTATTGCAAAATGATAACATTGGAAAGAAAAGATTTTTTTTTCTGATGAAGTGGAGATAAAAGGGGTTGATCCTAGTAGATCGTGACAGCAAGGCCACTCTATCATTTACAATATTCCGTCACGTATTTGATTGTCACTCTTAGCTACTTGGAGAGGCAAACTCTAGGAGCTCTTCATCCTTCTCGAGTGCGGACATGTCTTGTTCCTTCATGGAGCTTAATACTTCCACTTCATCCCTACTTTTATTATCCATCAACAAAAACATATTTTTAACTGGGCCATTACTTGACATACTTACTTTTTCAGGCCTTCCCCGTCCAAAGTCTACATTGTAAAAAGGGAACTTATTGATACTACTAAACCTATAGATATCATACCAGGAATTATTGAAAAAGCTATCATTTGCTTCTCTGAATAGATCAATCGTTATAGGTAGAAATTCATCTGTTTTATCATGCTTATATTTTTTTCGAACTTCTTCTTTCGCCTCCCGTAGTTTACCAACTAATCTTGGCAGATCCATTTCTTTCTCTTCAGTTGTTATTATAGAAAAGAACGAACCAATATTTCCCATTAAATTTTGTGGCAATGGAGGTCGTAAGTTCATAGCCTGGACAAGTACAGATGGACAAATCGAACCTGAAGTCTTCTTTTTAGTAGCCATTGCACGTTGGTAAATGAATGCTGATACAATCTCAGTGGTTGTTGGATTTTGTATGTTTGAATTGTTTATAACCCTAGTTTTTAGGGCAACTAATTTAGATGATGAAAAAGCAAAACTTTTGAATGAACATTCTTCTCCTTTTGGCACAACTTCATGTCGATTTACCATGTCTTTTGTAGGTGGAAAAATAGTCGCAGCATTAAATTGAGGACTTTGTATTTTTGAACTTGGATTACGTGCTATAGTAGCCCAATCATGAATAAAGTTGGCTATTGTATATCCATCTCCAATTTTGTGTGTCAAACATGCACTGACTGCTATTCCTCCACAATTAAAATGACTAAGTTGAACCACAGCAAGACTACCATATGAATCCGTATAGGGAATTCCTTTCGGATAGACTAAATCTTCTTTGTCAGCATATGGATTATTGAGAATTTTAGACATTGGACAATCGATTTTGGTAGTGAAAAACTCGACTCCGTGATCATTACAATCAACAGAGACATTTTCATTCAACTTTCCTGCAAATGGATAATAATGGGATAAAACTTTTGAAAGGGAATTTTCAAGATGTTCAGATATAACGTTATTTGGTTTATCTGACCATGTGTTGCTCAATTTAGGGTAAAAAAAGGCGAAAGGCACGTAAATTCCACCGAGCATTTGATCAAGATAAGATAACTTGTGACAACGAAGTGAAGTTGGAGTAGGAAAATATGGTTTGATTATCTTTTTGCAAACTGATGATACAAGATTTGATGCACACATCTTAAGATAGAAGTGGTTGGAATATTGTGTTTCAAGACAAAAAAAGATTGCAGTGCGCTATCTAAATGAGGAAATGAGCTTATATAGTAAGTCGATGTTAATATGAGCTGCTGCTAGTGAGTCGATATCCATAAATGGATAGTGAGTTAATTTCCATAAATGGATTCTTTTATGGTAGTTGTAATTTAGACTAACCTATTAAATCTAGATATCTGCTAATTAAAACTTTAGATTTTAAGTTACTCTAAAAAAGTTGAAGCTCCATGCATACAAAAAGGGTAAGTGGGGTAAATTTCGAAAAATGATTATATAACTATGACTTTTTTCATCCAAGTCGTATAACAATTTTTTTGCATATAGGTTTTCGGTCGGGTCGATCAGTTGGGGCCGTTCCTTTTAATTGGGTCAATATTTATTAGATGGAAAACAAAAAACAAGAAAATATGGAGTAAAAAATATATTTTCCCAGAAAGTTGAGTTTTTCGGCAATTATGACTTTTGTATGAGTCTAATGGTGACAAAATGGTTAAAAGAAAACAGTTATCCGCTCATATTATCCATTAAAAAATGAGTTGGATAATGAACTTTTTAAAAACTGGTCAAATATGAATAAGAACCATATTATTTACTTAGAAAATGAATAACTAATGAGTTTAACTTTTACATTTATAAAGCCTCAAATTGAGGATTCCCCAAGTTTAGAAAACTAGGAATTCTATCAAAAGTGATCATATTGAAGAAGCATGGATAATATGGATATCCATATTATCCGGCGTTTAACCCTTTTATCCATATTAAATAGGATCGGGTCAGATAATTTATCCATTTTGTATTAACTGTTTTTGACCCGTCCATATTCGACCTGACCCGTTCGTTTGCTCCCCTTATATGAGTCTAGTGAGTTTTGTGTTAAAAAATATAGTTATATGATTTTGGTAAAAAAAATTATATTAATATAATTATATGACCGGATATTTATTGGGTTATATATATAGGCGTAGGCAGGACGCCGAACTGCTTGCACATTAATTGGATAAAGCAATGATCTTCATTATCCTATAGCTACATTTGGCCATGCCCAACACTTAGGCTATCCGGAAAAAAAATATTACTTTCCTTTTTAGTCTGTTCCAAAATAAATGACACATTTTTAAATTTGGAAATAATTCAACTTTAAACTCTTTCATTTTACCCATTTATCTTTAATGAGAAGTTTTTATAGCCACACAAATGTCATGACCCCACAAACTTTTTACGCCTTAAGCTTTTAAGACCACAAGTTCCTAAAGTCTTTTTCTTTTTTTCATAAACCCCGTATCGAGTCAAACGACCTCATCCAATATGAAACAGATGGAGTAATAATAATCATAGTTATTTGCCGAATTGTTTTAAAGAACGCATATCTTACTTTTGAAGGAAATAGTATACTTTAGAGTCAGAATTTTCAGTTAAATACTCGTGGGGATCGTATTATCTATGAATTATAATTTAAGTGGAATTATTATTATCCTAAGCCGGGGGCAAAGCCACCGTTTGCTAAGGGGGTCAATTGACCATCCTTCGTCGATATATTACAAAAAATTATACTACGTGTATAAGTAAAATATTAGATTTTAGATATATATGACATATATTGAACACCCTCTGTCAGGAGATTTTTTTACTTCTTTCAAGTCTGAACGCCCTTGGAAAATTTTCTAGCTACACCACTGTCCTAAATGCCGACATGGCAGAGAAGGTGTATGTATTGTCGTGATTGATCAATCAATAAAATGATTGATCAATTCACGAGAAGGTTTGGAATAGCAAGTGCTTAAAAGCATTTGCTGGAGTTAATTTTATAAATAAACAGAGTACATATTTGGATAGAAGTGCTAAAATAAAAATAAGCAGTGACATATTCGGTAAGCTATGATGAAAGTATTTCTTTTTTCTATTAAAAATGGTATGCCCATAAAACTGTTAGAGCGAAAAATGAACTTATTATTAGGATGTTTTTAATTTTAATTATTTAACATACAAATTAATTATCAGGAGCACCAGTTATATGACCTTCTCAAAAGTGGAATGCGCACTACAATTGTGGGGGAAGTGCACGATTAACCACTAATAACACATGTATTTACTTTTAAGCCACTGTTTAAATGTCTTTAGTTTTTAGTCACTGCTTTAATAAACTTTAATTGTCCGGACGAAAAGATCCTTCTGCTCATGTCCTTAACTTTTGAACTTAACTTCAGGACTTCAGAACTACATGTCCTTAGCTTTTGAACTTAACTTCAGGACTACATGTCCTTAACTTTTGAACTTGTAACTATAAGTTCAGGACCAAGTGTCTTTAACTTTTGAACTTGTTAGTCTAAGTCCAGAACCTATTGTCCTTAACTTTTGAGCTTGTTAGTCTAAGTTCAGGACTTCATGACCTATTGTCCTTAACTTTTGAGCTTGTTAGTCTAAGTTCAGGACTTCATGACCTATTGTCCTTAACTTTTGAACTTATAATTGTAAGTTTATGATCTATTGTCCTTAATTTTTGAACTTGTAATTGTAAGTTTAGGACATATTGTCCTTAACTTTTGAGCTTGTTAGTCTAAGTTTTGGACCAAGTGTCCTTAACTTTTGAACTTGTAATTCTAAGTTCAGGACCAAGTGTCCTTAACTTTTGAACTTGGAACTCGAAGTTTAGGACCAAGTGTCCTTAACTTTTGAACTCAAAACTCGAAATTCAGGACCAAGTGTCCTTAATTTTTACTACCGCTAAACATTGAAAATGTAGAAACCTCCATTACTTCTTTTTCTTTCATTCTCATCCCTCAAACTTGCTAATTCTGAGTTACTACTACTAGACTTGGAAATATTATAAGTAACCGTTTTGTTCCTATAAACTGTAGTGCTTTCTATTACTCTGAAAAAACACAAGAATTGGGTTCTATTTCTTTTTAGATCATGAACTGTGAAGAGATAGAAGAAATATGGCAGAAACAAATGAGATCGCTGCAGTCAAGTCTTTCCATTGCAAAAAGTAGCTTAACCCTTGATGATTCTAGGAGGAACTCTGATGCGTCCGTCAATCCAACAGATGAGAAAGGTTCTAGTTGCACAGTTCTTCTCCCGAAAGAGATAGAAGAAAGGGTAACACAATCTTTTTATATTATTTTTAATAGACTAGTGGCTACTATTGCTAAGCATTGAAAATACTGGATAAAAAGTAAATACCACTTTAAAAAGTGACTATCCCATATAATATAATTTTTACAACAATTGTTGTGTCTACTAGAATATCCATTGGGCCCATTTGAATTAGATTTGTGGACTTTGGTTATTGGTCCACCATTCAACAAATAAGATAATGAAGAAGAAGAAAAAAAGAACAACCATCCCTCTTCCCGCTTGTTTTTTTTTTCTAAAAATTATATAGTTGTCGTTAATTACTTATTTTTTTCTGAACAGACTAAAAATAAAAATGTATTATATAAAATGAAATGAACGGAATTATTACTTTGTCGTTCGTATTTGAGCATTTAATTCCCAGCTTTAACTCTTGTACCCGTTTTCAGTGATTTCAAATCCAGAAGTTAATCGTACTTTGGCAACTTTAAGTAAGCCAGAATTTTTTTTTTGGGTGATAGTGAAAAAATTAACTCAGCTTCCAATGATCAAAGCTAAAAGCTTTAGGCATCTTTTGAGCATATTCAACTTTGATTTACATAGAAAATGCTTTAGTCAGATTACATAAACATGTAAAAAGCTCTTTGCAGCTCAAAAGGCAGTCACAAAATAAAATAAAACAAAAAGAAGAGGAATGAATAAATAGAATAAATGCCTCAACCACCAGTTGATATGCTCTCCATCTTCTTGTATCCAAATAAACCTAAACTTCTCAAGTGGACAGTTCCCAATTATAATATTACTAGATGAGGTATACCTCGGGTCCAACATCGCTAACTTGTTGTTCTGTTTGCTACAAAAAATTCTTTTGATAGATAAACACGACGTCCTATTATAAAAAAACGACGTTATTGGATATAGAGGGAATACAAATAGAAGTAAGGGGTTTTAAGGAATCTATTATTTGTACATCATTCATTTTGATTCAGACAGCGACCAAACACAAACAAATTGTATTCAAAGCGTGTGGACTGAAGTTTCTCATTTTTGATACATCTATTTGTTGTTCCAAACTACATAAAAATTATAAGTTGAAATTTTATTACATACATATCTAAGATGCTTTTTTACTTTCTCGCACATCTAAGCTAATAATGACTAATTTTACAGTACCAGGGGCAGGTACCACCATTTGAATTTGAATAATCTTAGAAACATACACAACCAATGGATTAAAGTTGAAGGAGCTTTTCTCTTCCACCTCCAAGTTAAGGTTTCAAATATGCCAATAGATGAATACCTGGTAACTATTCTTTGATCAGACTAACCTAAAGTAATTAATACATACCTCCATTGCTGAGATTAAGAACAAAGAGATCCACAGAAAAAATTCCTACTAATAATAACGCAAACCAAGAAAATAAAAACGGTAGGATAGATAAATAGTTTTGTTTTCCTCAAAATTGTCAAGTATAATATCTAAAAAAAATAGATGAATCACGAATCCATGCTTATGAAGATAGATCCAGACATACAAAATAGTGAAAAGTTCATTAATTTCAGAGTTTTCTGTTGAAATTACCAATTTTTTGAAGCTCACACAGTCATGCTTAATTCATCATTGAACAAGTTTAAATAGCCCCTTAAACTATGTATGACTAATTAACTAACCATAAAAATAAGAGAATAGAACATGTGAACATATTAAAACCAATGTGATTTTTTGTTTAGCTCCCTTCCTAAGGAATGTTTTATCAATACACTTTGTATTGCCTTCAAATTTGTTGTTATGTCAAAACGCTACCAGAATAGTAAAAGGGAGATGGCCCCTAAAAAACTGTCAATGATATTCGAACATATTTTAACTTATTTATAAAACAGAATCGGTGGCT